CCCAGCTCTGTCTTCTCAGCTCATCCCTCAGTAATTCCAACCGTCTGGCCCTCCTGGGACTGCGACCCTTGAACCTGCCACCTCTGCACAGCCCCCTCCTGCCCCCCGCACCCTCCGCCCTCTTCACCTGCTCCCTCACCCACCCTGCCTTGCACTCTCCCCTCTCCCTCTCCTCCTTCTGTCCCCTCCTCCCCTGGCTCTTAGCTGGTGGAGTAGCTTCTGGTTGCACTGAGGAAGTGGAAGCAAGCAGGAGAGAATTTCCACAGTTACCCGCCCACCCGCATCTGTCCCTTCTCTCCTGTTAGCCGTGGACCGACTGAGTTTCAGGCGACCCCCACCCCGGGAATCCATCGACCTACTCCAGGGCATGGCTCCAGCGTAAGCTCCCTCTCCTGCTGCATCAGTTTTTACCTCCCTCGGACCATGTCTAGTGTGTGCAAGCTGGGTGCTAACCCATCTTAGAGAAGCCTTCTGGCCTCACTGTCCTCTCCACAGCCTCCCCCTCTCTCCTCTACACACACACACACACATGCACGCACATGTGCACACGCAGAGTTCCTCAAAGAACTGTCTCACCCTGGCTGGTGTGGCTCAGTCGGTTGGAGCATCATCCCGTGCACCAAAAGGTTGCAGGTTCAATTCCCCTTCGGGGCGCTTACAGGATGCAGCCAATTGATATCGCTCTCTCTCTCCCCCTTCCTTCCTTCCTCTCTCTCCAAATTGAATTATATAGATCTCCTTAGGTGAGGGTTTTTTTTAAAAAAGAATTGTCTCTGCTCACTGTCTCCATTTCTCTCTGCTCTTTATTACGGTTTTGCCCGTCAGCTGTTCTGAAAGTGCTCCTCGGTGGCTCGCCAAGACGAGCGCTCCCTCTGTCACAGGACATGAGCTGCTCTGACCCTTCCCCCTCCTGCCTCCTGCCTCGTCCCTCCCAGGCTTCCAGGACACCGCGCACTCCTGGTGCCTGGTGCTCCTCGAATCTTTCTGGCCGTGTCTCTTCTGTCTCCCTGACCTTTAAACTCACAATCCCGCAGCCTCACCCCCAGGTAACCTCCCGGCCTCACCACGTTAAATACCTTCTGTTTGCTGGGGACCCCGGGTGTGAGGTCAGCTGGACTTCCCTGCTGGGCTCCATGGGCTCTGGCCTCGCCTTCTCTCCAGCCTGAGCTCCTGCTGCTCCACAGACCTGTCCCACCAGCCTCCCGCACAGGTGCAGCCACTCCCCCTGTCCCACCAGCCTCCCTCACAGGTGGCAGCCACTCCCCCTGTCCCACCAGCCTCCCGCACAGGTGGCAGCCACTCCCCCTGTCCCACCAGCCTCCCGCACAGGTGGCAGCCACTCACCCTGTCTGCAGTCAGGAGACATCTGCAGCGTCCTTGCACCGTCTTCTCTCGCCTCCCGCATCCAATCTGTTCTCAGATCCTGTCCTCGCTTTTCAAAATGTGGAGATAGTTAATGATGTTAAGGAATGTGCTTAAGTCCCTTTAGATGTGATAATGCTATCGTGGTTATGTTGTTTTTTTAAAAAAACCTTATCTTTTGGAGATTCTTACTGAAATATTTAGAGATGAAATGATAAGGAGCCTGGGGTTTACGCAGAATCACCTGAGACAGGGATTCTCACTAAGAGGACTCATTCAAGCACAGGCTCTGAGTCTCCAGCCCAGAGTTCTGATTCAGCCAAGCTGGGGGCAGGGGGGAGGGGGAGGAGGCGCCTGGTAACTGGTATTTCTAATGCTGGTGATGCTTCCTGTCTGAGGGCCACATCTGAGGCCCTGATCTCAGGGTGAGACTGGGGTGGGGGGGCAATGAATGAAATGAATGAATGAAACTAGCGGGTGTTGGAGCTGGTGGGTCCATGGTATGTGGGCACACAGGGTTTATTACACTTACTCTGCTTTTCTTAGGAAATTTCCATAAAAATGTGTGCGTGTGTTTCCAGAAGTTGGCCATTTCTCAGCACCGCCGCTGCTGTCACCGTGGTCCCACTAGCATCTCTTGCCTGAGCCATTGCCGGGCCTCCCAACTGGTCTTGCTTCTCCTCGTACCCCTCTGCGTTCTGTTCCCAACACAGCAGCCCACAAGGGCTCCCTCTCAGCCTGAAACCCAAGCCTTTTTATGACCCAGAGGCTCTTTATAATGTGTCCCCCACTCCGATTTCCACCAGACACACTGACCTTTCTGGTCCCTGAATTGCCAGGAATGCCTCTGCCTCAGGACCTTTGCACATGCTCCTCTGGGCCTACAATGCTCCCTGCTCCTTGCTCAGCCTGCTCTCTCATTTCCTTCAGGGCTGCATTCGAAAGTCGCCATTGCAGCAAGGCCTTCTCAAACCATGCGATGTAAAACACCTCTCTCTCTCTCTCTCTCTCTCTTTCACACACACACACACACACACACACACACACACACACACACCACTTCATACCCCCCTTCCTTGCTCACTGTTTCTCCTTAGCTCATGCCACCATCTATACTGTGCTTACTGACTATGGCTGTCCGCCCTGGCAGGAAGCTTGCAGGGTGCCTGGCACCAACGAGGCCTTCGTGGATGTGCCTTGGCAGTGCCCCTGCTCTAGGGTCCCACCCACGGCTTGGCCTCCACTGTCACTCATCATCCATGACACGCGTCCCTCCTCTGCCCGCGCCCAGTGCCTGCCTGGGCTGGCTCTGATGTCCAGGGACGGTGGCCTGTCACGCTCACTGCCAGACCCCTGTGCCAGGGCAGTGCCAGCCCCAGTGGAGGATGGATGGCAGCATCCCAGGAGCACGAGATGGGTGAGGAAGAGGATGGGAGAGTAGACGAGAGGACCTCCCTCAGCAGGCTGGATGTCCGTGGCCAATGGCAGGGGAGGGAAAAACCCACAGGAAATGCAGGAAAGCGTGGACGGCGGGAACGCTCTGTTTTGGAGGCATTAGCAGGACAGAAGTTGCAAACGGGCAGGCAAGTACCGTCTGCAGAGGTGTGTGTTCTGCCCACACGGTGCTTAAAATAAATGGGGTTGGTTGTCAGCAGCAAAAAATCAGCCCTGTCCTACTTCTCTGGAAAAACCCCAAACCTGCGGGCACTGGGCTGGCATGGCTGCTGGGGGGCCGCTGGCAGCACTGACCGCTGCCCCTCAGCGCAGGCGGGCGTGTCCTCTGGTCCTCAGGGCCCCTTCCAGCAGCTTCGTCCACCTGGACCTGCCCGCTGCTTGCAGGCATTGGGTCGAGAGCTCTCTTTTGAGGAGCAGAATGGATTCCTCCTTTCTCCAAGCCTCGTGAGGACGTGTAGCTGTTTGGGGCAAGCAGGCTGCCTGGGAGGCCAGGCCTGGGCAGTGTGGGGCTGTCAGGGTGGGTCAGAGGAGCCATGGAGCGGAAAGGAAAGCTTATCGGGGAGACTGTTTGCAGGGGGTCTGGGCCGTAAAAGGGCTGGCTCACCGACTGCAGAGACCACCAAGTGTCGTGGCTTCAGGCGTGTCCCCAGCATCATGTGTTGAAGCCCAGCTCTCACACTCAGAATGGGGGTCAGCGGGGATGTCGTTAGTTGAGATGAGGTCGTGCTGGGGTCGGGTGAGCCCCAAGTCCAATAAGACCGGTGTCCTTAGAAGAAGAGGAGAGACATAGAGACCCACGGAGAGCAGATGGCCAGGTGACAATGGAGGGGGTGATGCAGCTCAAGCAGGGGTGACGGCCACCCCGAGCTGGGAGGCAGCAGGGAGGGGTCCCCCTGGAGCCCACAGAGGGGGCTGGCCCGCCACCCTCGCTGTCAGCCGTGCCCTCCGGAACTGTGCCCGCTGGTCTGTCGTGAGCCGGGGTTGGTTTCCTGCCAGTCCGATTGCGGTGGAAAAACGCGTCTTCTCACAAGATGACCGCGACCGCCGGGCACACGTGCAGAGAGTTGTCTCGGGGCAAGGCCGGCAGGAGGGCGCTCATGTCAGGGAGTCAGTCGTTTACGGGACTCGATGGGCCAGGTGGCCCGGTCAGGGCTTGAAGAAGACGAGAGCTCTTTTTATTCATGTTTGTTTCCTTTGCCCATGGCCGGGCGATGTGATGTGTTCTCTGTGGTGTGTGGCCAGTGGGCCGAGCGGTGTCCCCCTCCCCGTGTCCACAGCCTCTCCCGTGGTCCGTGCCGCATCCAAAGTTGGATTTGACACTTGCTTTGCCCAGCAGTTTCCTCCTGTCTGTCTGGTGCCCAAAGAGCCCCTTGTCTACGGTTTAAGAAGCCGAGGACCGGGCCTGCGAAGGCTCGGGGTCCTGCAGGAGCCTTGGTAAAGCTCCCGGAGTTGGAACAGATATATTGCATCAGGATTATTCTCTGGCATTTGTCCACTTGTCTACTGACAAGCGGTGGCTGTGGTGTCATTGGAAAGGGTGGGGCTCCTGCCCCCGAGGGTCCCTCCTTCTGTCAGCTTTGCTCTCCACCTGCTCTGGGCACAGCTGCCGAATGAGGGGTCCTGCTCACGCAGCTCACCTTGGGGTTCACGCTACTAGGCTTGGGGTGTCTGGGTACCCAGCCTTCTGTGCAGCCCCCCTGTGGGTTAACAGTTCCTGGGGGGTGGGCAGTGGGCACTGCAGAACGAAGCCCCCAGGGGACACACTTAGGAAGGCAGGTCCTCCGCAGGTGAGGATGACTCACTTGTGTCTGAGCACGTGGGCCCCGGTGCAGTGACAGGGTCAGGCCCAGGCACCTGCTCCCCCTCGAACCCAGCGCCTCCGGCCCACGGGGGATGCCCCTCATCCTCTCCAG